CCACGGGATACACCACGGCCACTGGGACTGTCATTATCAACAGCAGCAGCAGCCGTCATGGTATACCCGCAGGCACAGCACAGCACAACGGCCAACACACACATCACACGGTGCGTCATCATCATCATGAGAGAGACAATAGTTTGGTTTGAGTAAAAACACTGATCTAGAAAGAAAGACAATCAAAAAACAAAAAGTAAAGAAAATAACTGAAGTATCAAACATGTTAAGACACACAAATCGATTACCACTATGGAAACTCACATCGTGAAAGTAAAACCTACCAGTTAAAGAATGCAATACAGCGCAATAACCTTAGTAAGAGTAAAAACAAAAAAAAAGCCCTCACTCACAATTATATCAAAAAAGGCTCAGCGACCCAGCAAAACCAACAGAAAACAAAAAACAGTTATTAAACTATTAGCCCAATTTACCCAGTAAACATAGAAATACACACCAACTATGGGTGTAAGTCTATATATGTGTGTATACAAGCAATTATAAATATAAGTTCATCTGTTACTATTTCTTCTTTTTTCCCACTGTAAAAAGCAGTTCATCATCATTACAGTGCAAGCAAAGGTGCACACACAGAGAGAGTCCAAGAACACACACACAATGGAGTAGCAATAATAACTATTATAGGATAAACACAGAGAGAGCAAAAACACACACAAAACACAATAACATTCAGAAACAAAAAAAGAAGAATAAAATCCCAACAGGTGGAAGATTAATTAGACTGTAGGGGATGTATGCAAAAAAGAAAACAAAGGATGACCTGAGTCACACCACCACCACCACAATCAGCACACAAGAATACAGGCCAGTGTAACCACAATCAGTAGTGGTACACGCACCCACACAGAACTGCTGATACTGCTGCTGCTGTCTGTATCAACCTTCTTGTTGTTTGTGAGTTCAGGAGGAATTGTTGTTGTTGTGGTGGTGGCAGTTGATCCTTCATTAGTGGGTGTATTGTCAGTTTCAGGGTTCGTACTCGCTGAGTTATTCGTTGATGTCTCTGCAGAATTACCACCTTCCGCAGTTCCATCAGTTTGAGAAGATTCAGAAGTAGGAGATGATTGTGCACCTGTACCTTCTCCACTGGCTGCACTGGTGTTGACTGCGCTACTGTCATTGGATGTATCACCAGTTTGTTGAGGTTGCTGTGGTGAAGGTGGTGAAATTGAGTTGTCTTTCACCCCAGGAGTTGCATCTTCACTTTGTATTGGATCTTCACGGCCACCTTGCTGCTGTTGAATTCCTTGACTACTTCCTGCAGAATCCACTTTTCCCCCTGCAGCACCCTCTGCACCAGGTCCACCGTCCCCCATCTCGTTTTCAGGAGTACGGTTAGTAGTAGTGACGTCAGCTTCACTACGCTGTTCACTCGCCTGAGAAGGTAGGCCACCACCACCGTCAGTACCGTGCGGTTGACCACTTCCAGATTGATTCTGATGACGACCGTGGGTGTTAAGCTCTTGAGCAGCACCAGGAGGTGCAGGACCACCAACACCAGGAGCAGCAGCCTCAGCACAAGGTTTACCGTCATCAGAACGTTGAGTACCTTCATTAGGGCACGTAGGAGTACCTTGGAGAAGAATCTTTGTCTCACTCTCCGTATCAGGGACTTGGTCGGAAAGATCGGCGGCAGGCACTTCTTCAGCGAGGACGTGCACACACGCA